TATGTTTTCAGGTTGTCCATCCGACCATCCCATTCTCCTGGACCTGATTTCTCAAGAATGCCTTGAATCAATTTCTTCAAATTTTGGCACAAACATCCACTTGGACTCAACGATGAATTGATTAGAATTTGGTGGTTGACATTCAAGGTCACTGTGACCTTGCGTCTATCTTATTCTCGCGATTATGATATGTCAAGAATGCCTTTAGGGAATTTCCTCAAATTTTGGCACAAACGTCCACTTGGACCCATGGATGAATTGATTTGATTTTGGTGGCCAAAGGTCACTGTAACCTCACAGAACATGCTTTTGGCCATAACTCAAGAATTTATACATAATTATGAGTTAATTTCACACAAATGTCTAATATGATGATAAGGTGATGACATTTATATCCAAAAGGTCAAAGGTCAGCTTCACTGTGACATCATAATGTTCTGCATAAAACACTTTTCTGGCCTTTACTTGACATCATAACTCAGGAACAGAAGGGGGGACATTTGATCAGATACTGAATTGGTGACACTAATCTTTGATGTCCACCTTGACACTGCTGATTGTATAGATCTGTGTGTGAAGTATCCATGTTTTTACAGACGTGGATGTAAACTGTAAGAGAAACTTGACCGGTACGCTGAAGCATACAGCTGCAAGGTGATAATTTTGGTTTTAGCCTTTGTTTAAAATGTGTTCATAGAAATTCCAAAACATTTTTAACATTTTGCAAAATACGTTCCTTGTATTACTAATTGAAAAGTTAGTGTTGGGTCGCGTGAGCTTTGAAATGTCAAAAGTATCTTGTGATATTCATAGGCCTGACCAGCATTGCATCATCGCCAAGGCCACGCCCCCTTGTGGAGGACAGAAACACGCTGTCACATCAGGAAAGAGACAGGAAAATGCTGAAAAGATGTTGTTGATTGAGATATGAGGCACAGAACTGCTTGTGGCAGTTTATACTGATGGACAGCTAACATTAGCTTGATTTGGCTTTTAACTGGTTGGTTATTGACAGACGACACATAGCTTAATGATATCTAGGGATTTAATCAGATATACTTTTTGATTGGATCACCAGGTATCATGACCCAGATATCTATAATATCCACTTGAATGGAGGAAACCTGAAGGGACATGACAGCGATCAACACTCAGGTCTACAAAACATTTCACTTGTCAAAGTTGTAATCCAAACACACGTCAAACTGCACTGACATCTGTAGGATCTTCTTTCTTTATCCTCCATAAAGGGGTTTAGCCTTAATGTTTTGTAAAGTACCCATATGTGCTGGTCTGGTCTATTGTCATATGCAGCTAGTTAGCAACGAGAATGTCTAACAAGTGACTAAAGTTGGCAAGCACTAGCAGTTTGCTTAACCACAGATACCTGGGAAGTGCCTGTTTTATTCAATAAGGAATGGCTGCATCGCTCTGTAGGCTCGCCCATTTTAATCTACTTAAGTAAAGTCATGGAAATGGGGTAAAATGTTTTGAAGAGTTTTGAAAATTCATTGGTAAAAATGTGTGGGAACTTTGTGTTAGTGAACTCATGGTAACTCTGTGGCTACAACATGTGGTCCTGTTTTTACATACAAGTGTAATTAAATAAAAATGAACCAGAGCTGAGGGATTTTAAGATGTGACCACTGCTTTCCTTAATTACCTTTTTTTTTAAAAAAATCAATTTATTTATGTAATATATTGCAAGTTAATGTCGTAAAAGTTGTCAAGAGAAAAATGTGTATCATCTCATTATTCATATTAACTACCATGTCTTCTGAAATATTGTGTAGTGCAAATTGACCACCAATTGTTCAGTAATAGTCTATATTCACGCTTAATTTTATTATTATTATTATTATTATTTTCTTTTAGGCAAAAGCTGGCATTATTCTATATTTTTCTTATTGTTAAAAATAGAAAATAAAGAAATAAACTGTTTGTAAACAGTATCGCCAGCGAAAGTGAAAGCCAACACCACATTTGCTATATTTTCATTTTTCGTTTTGTTTTGTTATATATTTTCTTTTTCTTTTTTGTTTTTGTTTTTCAATTTGTTTTCAATTTTTATTTTATTTTTATTCTTTTCTTTTTTCAATTTTTGGTGCCGTTTCAGCGATTTTTAGTAGTTTTCTCTTGGATGCCTGTTGCTTCCAGTCTAGCACGTTGTCGCTACCGTTTTATTTAGTCCTGACCTCACCTGCACGCTATGCCCAGGAACACCCTGAACATAGCAAAATAAGAGGAAAATACAGTCAGAGGGAAGAGTCCTTGCACTGTTAGTGGGTCATATGTGATTATTGAAGGATTACTTTCAAGTCCAAACATTGTTTTTTAGGATAATCCTGCAGAGTGTACCTTTAAAAAAATATCATGAAAAGACCAAAACCTACAACATGTTAGTCCATCTCTCAGCACAAATATAAAGTTTAGTTTTGTCTGTAGGCTCATTCATTTCCTTAAACACCTGGGCACTGTAACTCTAAATAGTGCATTTGCTGGGGACTATTTTCAGCAGTGGATTAATCCACATTCAGTGCTCTCATGAGTCTTTTTGGCAGCATGACTGTGTATGTGGGATTAAGGGAAAATAAACTACAGCGTGTGTGTTCATGGTAATGAAGGAACATGTCAGTCAGTGCAACAGTGCGGCTCACTGATGTGTTTTTAATAGTTTTTGGACAATAATGGCGCTCTAAGGCACGGAGGAGGAAGACGATATATCAGAGTTGGTTTTGGCTTTTCATGGGATTTGTTTGCAACAAGAAAAATGTTCTTTAAATGCTTAATTTAAAAATGAAATGTTTGAATCAGCGGTCCATGTACAACATGTGATACAACTAAAGACAGGATTGTTGTATCTAGGGATGAGATATATCTAATATACTATTTGTGCATGTGTGTGTACCGTTGGCTGTAAAGCAAAAAAAACAGGAGACAGTTTTGTTGTTCAAATATATAATCTTAGTTCAGTCATACAGATATATACATTGTATAATAAATAATATTTATAAAAACATAACATTTACGATTATAAAATAAAAAGGGAATTATTCACTTTAAAACATTTGTACAAAACTTTGGATATAGCGGGAGAAGTGGAGGAGGGTGTGTGTGTGGGGGGGGGACTGAACACAGGAAGGTAGGCCCAGGTAGGGAGGGCTGTGTAGAAGATGACACAAAGGCTAAGCTATGTCACAAAGAGAGGACAGCCTAAACACTACTGGGTATTTCTTGTTGTTGAATATAATTAATAGGAAGCAGGTGGGACTGTCAGAACATGTTGTGTGGAAACCTCTCACAGTTTGTTCCACCATAGTGAAGAGCCATCCATCCATCCATCCATCCATCCATCCATTTTTCCATTCACCTCTGTTTGTCACTGGCGGACGTGATGCGCACACACACATCTTGCACACTTGAATCATTCAGCTCCTGATGAAGTTTCCCAACCTTCTTTTCGTTACAGGTTAACTTCTGTATTTTTCAAACTGGATCCTGTTCTCCCATGTTTTTGTGTCTAAGTGACTGATGGGAACAACAAGTCTTGAAAGTGGTCCAGTTTTTAGCTGAGGAACAGGCTGCAATGTAACCACTCGGGGCATGTTTGCGCCATCAATTTACATCCATTATAAGTACGTGTTTTGCCACTGACAGACTCAGATCCCTACAGATACAGACCTTTTTGTTAAAGAGCAAAATCATTTTTGTCTGACCAGGGACAGCCATCGTAAGACACACTTAAAGTCAGCAGAAACAAAATAAAACAAAACTTCCCTGGTTCCTTTTTTCCACTGTACTAACAATAATCAACACTGGTTTAGTTGAACTAAACTCTTAAAGGGAACAGTGTGTCAGATTTAGGGGATATAGTGACATCTAGTGGTGAGGATTGCAGATTGCACCAGCTGAAAAAATTCCCAGTTAGAATTCCTTCAGTGTTCATTATTCAGGAGGTTTTTGCAATACCATACCAGCAGAGGTCTCTTCCTCTCTAAGGATGCATTCAGACCTAGAGTCGTCTCCTTTGGTCTGAATCAGGGACTTATTTTGTTCCAAAGTTGTATAATTGCCTAGAGTTGGTTCGTGTTCTCACGGCAGCATTTACAAGCGGACAAGATCAAATGCCTTGTGTGAGAAAGCTGCTCTTGATTGGTCAGAATTTCCAAATGGGAAAAATCCAGGAAGTAAAGCAAACGTTGAAGAAGAGTACACTTGCAAGATAAATGTGACACTTTCTAATGTCACAATGGAGGGACAACTACACAGGTTGATTTTAGCGCTGCTCATCGTGGACTATATTGCTGTCATTGTTCATTTTAGTCAAACCATACAGTTTGAAAACGAGGCGCGGCTCCAACTAGAAAACAATGTTTTGATGCATTGGATGTGCTGAATGTGCATATTAAGGCAGTACAGGAGGAGGTGCACATTAATAATCCTCCAGGACTGTAACATGCTCATGTTTAACCCAAACAATGTGTCATGTGACTGCAGTTGCTTCACATCCAGGTCGGAACACGTTCTCGCTACAAACCAACCGCACCAGAGTTCGTTTGTAACCAGACCGAGACCTTCCTTAAGAGGTGGTCTCGGTCTGGTTGTTTTGGTGCACACCTGAGTGTGATGGCTGTGTTCACACCTGACCAAAAGAACCGGTGAGAAAACACCCCAAAACAAACGGACCAGGTAATTAAAACCAGTAAAAAAGCATTTTCACATTACAAATCAGTGTTTCTCCAAAGCTGCTGGCTCATCATTAGCTCAGCGCTTGCTAATTTGTGCTCACCTTTGTCCTCTGATAACTGAAGATCCAGACATTCAGGACATTTGTACCAGGAGCTGAATTATCCGCAGAGGTCTGACCCGCTGATTTCATTTGGTAAAAACACTGAATAAGCAGTTTGATTTTAAAAATCTGTGTTTTTTGGATGCTGTTTGGCTTTCGAAGGGGCTGCTAACTACGGTGACCAAAGCAAAAACACAAATGGCCCTATCTGGAGCCAGTGTTTGGTTTGTCTCCTCTGGGCTCCTGTAGAAACATGGCAGACTCCATAGACAAGGACTCGCTTCCTATGATTCTTATTTGCAGGTATTACACCAATGGAAACATACTTAATATATTCCATTTCTGCCAATGTATCTTCTTAAATCTTTCATAATGGACCTTTAATTCACCCAGTTAGATGTAAGAATGTTCTGGCTATATACACGATAAAATCACTGTTTATTTAAATGGAGTCTGGTGTGTTGGTGATGCCGATTTCAGGGCTGTTGCGCGTTAAAAGAAATGATTTTACTCTGTAACAAAAAGGTTTATCTCTGTAGGGATCCTTAACATAATAGTGTCAGACACTTATAATAATCTGAGCCTGTCAGTGGCAAAAACAAACACTCTTAGTGGATGTACTCTGACCCTGCTCATATGCCCCAAGAGAGGACATAACAGCCTGTTTCGTCACTGCTGGTAGCAACTTTCTCACTCAGTATGGGACCAGTTTCAAAAACTGTTGCTCTCATTTGTCACTTGGACACAGAAATGTGAAAATAGGACTTTGAGTTGAGAAATACAGATGTTAGCCTTTAATGTTCTCAGACTCTACATGAACTGGAAGTCTTTTCTGTCCACCCAAAAGTCACAACTGTTTACCTCGATTTGAAAATAATTTCCTTTTGTTAAAAAATTACAAGTCAGAGTCAGCCGGGCAGACGTCCATGCCTCTGGGGCAAAAAAAATTATATTGAGAGTAAATTATTCTTCCAGTATCTCCAAAACCAAAACCGCAGGGCAGGAGTGTTTTTGGGGTGTACTGACAAGAGAACAAGTTCATAAATCAGGCTTCTTAAAAACCTCAACTGTCCAACTGAGGGAAAATCAGGAGAGAAGGAAGGGAGGGTGTGAAAGCCAATCAGAGCCTGCTCCGGTCTCCACATGTCGTCACATGTCCCCCTTTTTCTTTTCTCTCTCTCTTTTTTTTTTTACAGTGATAAAAGAAAGCGTCAGACAAAAGATGGACCTGATGAATGCATGAAGTGTTAGATAAAAAGATCTCCCAATAATCACTTTGCTCATAAGACCAGAATTAATATTAAGCATGCTGAAGCTTGACTCACGTTTGATGCGTATCTTTATAAAATGAAACAGCCACAAATGATCTTCTACTCAGTCATATAATTTGCTGCTTGTTTTTCGCCGCGTCGCTCCTTAGATTGAATAATGTACGACTGTGTTGCATCGCATGTGTGGAAATCATGAGCAATATACAGGTTGATCGTGCCCGAACGCTGGAACAAAGTTGTCATTCATGAGCACTGCTAGCTTGCGACCAAGGAGAATTTGCTCGCGTAAACAATGCTCAAATCTTAACCACCTGGAGTAACTGAATAGTGCATACATATACATGTGAAGGGTTGTTAGTTAGTGGAATGAGCATGCTTGTTCACACACATGCTGCATACCTCCAGTCCCAGCCCAATGGTAATATTTCAGAAATGCAGGGCTATAAAATCAGACTGTAGCATATATCTTCCAGGCTTCCCGGTCGACTGGTGCGGTAGAGTCAGTCAGCAGGGAGAGTAGCAACACTGAGGATTTCATCAGCTCAGTAGTTTACAAAAGACAGGACTGTGGCACTTCCCAACACCTGCCTGCTGTTTTCAGTTCAGTTCAGTAGTTACAAAGTGATGGTTTCCTGGGGCTGTGTTCAGTATCACTTACGACTAAGTGACAGTGTAGAGGTTGGTTTAGTTTAAAAAACAAAACAAAAGGTAAACCAGCCAGACCGGCCGGAGAAGTGAGGTGTTAGTTAGAAGATGCTTTTTATTCAAAAGCAAAGAGAGTCTGAAAGTTTTTTACTGCATTAATCTCACAGGTAAAAAGTGTTACTGTACATGCCGCAAACGTGTCGGCATGTAGGAGGGAAATAAATAAAGACGAGGGGGAGGGAGGGGCCCAATGCTGCGGGGAGAGGAACAAAGATGCACAACTGTAGCTCCGTCCCATGAGAGCGGACTAGACCTCAGACTCAGATTGGTCGGGTCATCTGGTCAGATATTATGGAGATGGGTGTAGTGGTTTGGAAGACGGATTCTAGGGCGGGGTTTTTACAAATAAAGGTATAGAAGTATCCATAGCTGATGTGCCATTACCCATTAGGGCCTGAGTGTGTGTGCTGGTGAATATGTTTCTGTGTGGGATGCGTGTCAGGGGGAAGCAGGGATGTCGTGCAGGAGGTGGGGGAGTTGACGGGTGGGTGGGCAGCACTTGTAGTCCAGCAGTCTGAAAGCACAGGCCTCTCTCACTTGCACGTGTGGACGTCGTAAACGCGCACACACTCCTGACAACTGACGTAGCAGCACCAGTGGAAGATGCAGTGACACTTCTCTTTGCGTTTCTCAGTCCGGGTGTTGTGGCCGCGACCGCAGCACAGCAGGTCGCAGCCCTCGATGCCGTGCGACGACACGTTGCAGGCTCGGTCGCGCGTTCCGAAGGAGCCGGTCTCCGGGTTGGGCTCGCAGAAGTTGGGCGAGCCCTCGTAGTAGACCAGGTCGCGCTCGGTGGGGTGTTTGAAGAAGTTGTACTTGACACGCAGCGTCTCCACCCAGCCTCGTGACTCGCGGTGTTTCTCCACCACCATCTCCGAGGCGCTGTCGTACTTGTCCTTCAGGTAGTCGCCCAGCATGCGGAAGTCTGGCTGCGCCCACCAGCAGGTCTTCACCTCGCAGCTTCCTGACAGGCCGTGACATTTGCAGCGCAGGTGCATGTGGTCGAGGATGGTCTGAGAAACACAGAGGACACTTTTATATTCACTTTGTAGGAATGTTTAAAACCAACATCAGTACTAAACTTAATTTAATTCCTGGATGAAAAAAAAAGCATGTACATATGCATTTTCATTGCATGGTATAACACAACTCTTTTTTGATTTTCCATTAGCAAAAGTTGCTTGTGATACCTGATACTTTTTTTGGTACTGCTAAGTGAGCTGAGGTGATACTAGAAGGCAGAGTCATCACTAGCAGGACACAAGACCTCTTGCACATAGCCACCATTTTTTTAGCCAAGATACTGTCAATAGTAATCGTAATATTTTTTTATTCACTCCACCCAGATTTTTAAAAAATGGCAACTTGAACAACCACGCTGTACACTCTGCTATTTAATTGCCAATAGGCAGGTGTTCCCCTGATTGGTTGCCAAAGAAAGGATTCAGTGGTTGTCACACTGAAGATGATGTAACAGCAGTTTCACGCAGCGGCGCTATGGCGATCAGCTTCCGCCAGCACTGGCGGGGTACTATCTGCAGTGGAAAATAAAATGGAGGAATGACCTGGCACCAACAGTGAGCTGAGTCAAGTTGAGTCGAACCATTCAGTGGAAATGCATTAGTGAAGCTATTTATCAGCCTGGCATGCATCCAAATTTTTTAGCTTTCATAACCCATTTTTCCTGATTGCTTAAAGCAATACTCCACTAAAAGTATGTCTTCAGACTGTGAAGAGTCACTGCCTGTTGGCTTTGAGAGGCGGCTCTGAAGCAAGATTCACAGTAATTCCAATGTATTCCTATGGAAATCCAGAGTCATTGCTTAAGGTGTAAAAAAAAAAACTTCTTTAATACACAGACCACTTCTTTAATACACAGACCACTTCTCAGCAGTCACCATGTGTTCAGTGTGCCCCAAACAATTTTCACTTAGCAAATAAATCCCTTGGCAGATCGTGGGATCAGTTTCTGTCACTTTCAGTGCCTGTTTACACCTGGTATTAACATGTATCTCAGGTGATCAGATCACAAGTGGACAGCGTTCAATACAAGCGTAATAACCACCGTGGTCTTCCGATCACTCAAACCACTTGCCGAGGTGGTCTGGGACGTATTTGACCACATATCTTATGAAGTGTAAACACTAATGTGTCCTGATACGTTCCCAACAAGGATTGTCGACAGCCCCACGCCGACAGCAGCTGGACTCACAGGGGCACTCCTGCACTTCTTGCCTGCTTGTTCATACCAGCTCCCGTAGCAGCTCTTTTCTCTGCTCCTATGGCAGCTCGACTCCTCTCCTCACCACTGATGTATAAAGAGAACTCTGTAGCTGCTGCTGTGTCTCGTGTGTGACAAAGACTGGATGAGGAGAGGCTCACTGGTGAGGTCAAGAAATATCGTACGCTAAACAACCCACAGTCCTGTCATTTTAAAGACAGTGGCCAAAAAGATAATTCCTGGCGAGTCATAGCTCTGGAGATCAACTCTTCACGTGAGAAATCAAGTTTAATTAGGGGTTCTCCACACATGATTTTAAGCTAATGCATAGATGGAGGAAGTACAGATCTTTCAATAAAAGTACTGACAACTTTGCGTGGTTGTCAGTTGATCTGCAACAGCGTGACACGTCCAGTGTGTGCTGTGGGCGGCACTTGATGGGCGTCACATAATGTGATGCACTACAGTGGCTCTGGTATGTTTTCAGCTTTACTGTGTGCTGGGCCCTTTGACCCTATGGCATAATCGACATAGGCAGTAAGCGGTAGTCAGATGGAGACACATGATAATACCAGAAGTAAAAAGGCTCTCAGTTGTCACTGGAATCCAACCGCTGTGACTTCAAGCTGAAATCACCCCCGCCATCCTTTTGGAAGAATCAAGCCACAAACTTTTTAAAGCCACCACTCAAGGCCAACTGTTGGTGAGAATTTGAAACAAAAAAAAAGGTAGATTTTGGGTGGAGTGTTCCTTTAAAGTGTATTTAACTACACTGTGCTGGTCTTAATTAAATAACTGACTCAGAACTTGTCATGTCGGTCACTGCCAAAGAAGATCTATTGGGATTTGAGGTCAGAAATTAACAGGAAATTCAGTAACGCAGACAAACGAAACCACTGAAGACTCTCAGAGCAGGCCAAGAAAAACAATGTGCCACTGGCTGCAATTTATTTAAGTGTCATGCAGCTGTGAAGTACAGAGGCTCTGCGCTGCTGCTAATTCTCTCTGAAGTCACTGGCTCACATAGTGAGTGTGCCGCCGCGAGGCTTATTTCACCTTTGTGTTTTGATTTTGTTGTGCTTTAATTCAACAGCTATATTTAGCCGCAGAATTCCCCCAGCTGGGGCGGAAGGCAGGTGGCTGTGGCACCTCTGGCTGAGGAAGGGGAGAGAGGGGGCAGCGGTGGGAGGGTGGGGGGTTGGACTCGTGACATCACTCTGTGAGCTTGTCATGCCAACATCAAGTCCCAGAGGCCCTCGGGGCTAAATAATGGAGCGTGAGAGGGCCAGGTGGAGAGGAGAGGAGACTCCTGACAGTGCTGCTGTTCAGTTAGCTCCTGTGGTCTCCCCGGCTGCTCCTGTGTGCTCAGATCAAAGGACTGTCTTGTTGCCGTGTGGTCCCTCCATTTGCCCCTCAGCGAGCAGCCGGGGAGCCTATTTTTTTCCGAGCGGTGACAGCAGCCAGTGATGTTTTAAGTCTGAGCTGACTTCCTTCTTTTCCCCCTCAACTCACTCGGGTTATTTGACTGTCAGGGAATTTTTTCATTGGGATGCAAGGCATGAAAGGCGAGGTGTGGGAGCGAGGCAGGAGGGAGGGTGTTGCTTAGATGAGTAATTAACCAGTCATTCAAAGTCAAGTGCTCATTTTCAGGTGGAAACTCAGAAATGTGCGAACAAGTCAAATACCAAATCCCTGCCCATCACACGAACAATTGGTAATCCCAAACAGTAATGTTTCCTGGATAAATCCCCTCCGTTTGCACGACAGTCAGGTCGTTGTCCATTGTTTGCTGCGTCTCTGTTTCACTTTTCCCCTTTAACTCCATTTTACAGTACAATATGTGCTGAGGTTGTCTAATGAATGTGATGTATTATAGTGCTGTGACCTGTCATGCCACTGTGCAAAATGTGCTCAACAATGGAACCTGATATTCAGTCAAACCTCTAACTATGAAATCACTGCTGATCAGTTTAGTTCTACAGTAATCAATATGTACGCTATCTGACCAAAAGTATGTGGACTTCCCTGTCCACCTCTGGCATGCCAGGCCCCTTAGTTCAGCTATTCCCAACCAAAAGTCCAAAAGTGGGTCACAGGTCCATTCTTAATACACCATAAGTGACTTGCGAAGTTGTCAAGTTTGTGAAAAACACACTTTATTTTGAAGTACAGTGAATTTCTGGGGCAAAGCTTTTATTTTGAAGTGCTGTTTCCTGCTGTAGAGTGAGTGACTAACAGACTACTACTCGACAGAGACAGCAAACTAGCTTGAGGACATAGCCAAATGCAAGTATGACGCCTAATATGCGTGGAACTTGAACTGATGACGACGAACAACTGCCTTAGTTCATGTGAAGCAAAAATTTTAAGGCCCCAACAAGCCATGCTGATGATTGGCTGTTGGTCAATGGTGGGCCTCAGTGAGCATCTGTCGTCCTAGGTTTTGGTCATGTGTCCCACATGGTTGCCACTAATTAGCCCTTGTTGGCTTTTTTGCGGCTAATTCAGCACGTGTGATTGGTGTCCGAAACAGCGGAGCCCACCGGTGAAAGAAATCCCTCTGATTGGCAGTACAGCTCAGTGCACGAGAAGAGAAATGAAAGTGAGGAAAGTAAACAAATGACTAAATTCAAAAGGGCATGAGATCAAAACAAAGTTGTTATATTAGGTAAGTTGTTTGTTTTTTTTGGCCACTGAGGTCTTTAGCGGAAGCTTTATGAAGTTGTTTGTGTTATTTTACGCTAGCATACGGTATTATTTGTTCTTTAAACATCAGGTTGCATTGTTAACGCGCTAACTGGCTAACTAGCATCTTGAATCTGTCTTGTCAGTCTTCTGGCTTCTCTTTTTGAACGTTGAATACAGACCCCCACCGCCTGCTGGTATGGAGAGTTGTTTCCTTTCCGATATGTGCGATTTGGCCAGTGGCTGTCGTCTTTGTAGTGTGGTCAATTGCAACTTTTTGGGCGAGACACAGGCAACATGAGGCGATGCAACAGTCGGCCTTTGTCACCACTAGTTCTTAGATGTCCGTTTGGTGTGTCTGGTCATCTAACGCTGCAGCATACATTTTCTGAACAACAATGCTTCCAACATTGTAGCAGCAGAAAGAGACTTTGTCTTGTTTCAACATGACAATGATCCCATGCTCAAAGCCAGGTATATGAAAAAAAAAAAAAAAAAAGGTTTTCCCACTTTGGTGCGGTGGAGGTTGACTGTCCTGCAGAGAGCCCGGACCTCAACCCAGTCCATCCAACACCTTTGAGATGTGCTGGAACACTGACTGTGCTGTGAGCCAGACCTGATCACCCAACATCAGTGTTGGACCCATAGAAATACTATCTCCATGGATGGACTGCATTAATGCTCATCTGACAGAATGGGAGCAAATCCCCGCATCCAGGTTCCAAAATCTTGTGTGAAACCTTCCAAAAAGATTTGGAGGCTGCAGTTCATGAATTTGGTACAATCATGTATGAATGTAATGTTCAGATGTCTACATACTTTTGGCCATGTAGTGTATATTAATATGAGATATAGACATTTAAGAAGACATCTGCACATCATATGTGTCTCAATATGTTTACCGTGCGTCCTGCCTCGTTGTTGTGTCGGTTCATCGCTGAGCGAGCGTCTGGACGATTCTCTCTGGCATCCGCGAACTCCCTGGACACCAGCACCCCGAACTCTGCGTCCTCGCTGCAGCCGCCCCACTTCCAGCCCTCCCCGGGAGGACCCTTGTGGTGGGAATCGCACCCGCACATGGTGGACGTGCCCTCGGCGCAGGAGCGTGTCACCGCAAACGCCACGCCTGCTGAAGCTATGGCGTGGACAAACGCTGACTCTCTGGTTGCTGAGAGAGACGGATGAAGACAGGGAGAAAAAGAGAGAGGGAATGTGTCAATCTTGTTTTAAACATGGACAGGGGAATCTTTACTGCTGCCAACATCCAGACAGAAGTATTGAAAGGGATTCCTCCAGGCAATAACCTTTTAACACAACATTTCATCTTTGAGAAGGCACATTTATGTTCCAGGGTGAAAAACAAGACGCCTATGGAAAGAAACTTTAACCCTCTCTTATTTTACAACATGTAAACATGGTTCACAGTATTTCTTATATGATCATAAGCGCTGAGGAGGCACATACTACAGGACACATGAAGGAGCCTAAAAGCAGAGTCCCTGCAGTGACATCAGCCCATTGTGGCTGTGTCAGGAGAGCCTAACGCTCAGTGGGATCTCAGTGACCTCCTGTCATCCCTGAGGTGTGCTGCTTTGCATCTGGATAGTGTTTCAGGAATGTTGTCACCCCCCTCCGCCCTCCTCCTACCCGTCCCTGTTCAGAGCCCAAGGCCTTCTGGTGAAACCTAGCAGTGTGTCGGCCTGTTTCTTTTTTTACACTGAGGGATGGAGTTACGCCTCCTTTGAAGGCAACAGCTTATTATGTAACCAGACACCATTGTTTCACAATCACTGCACACTTACCGTGGCTCACCCATTACACTCCACTAGCCATGTAACACACACACACACACACACACATAGAGGTAAGGGAAGGTGTTCTCAAGCAGTGGCTTGACATTTCAAGGCCATTGCGTGGCCTGAGTTTCTGATATGCACAATTGCGGGACGTGAGTTTTGAAATTTGTACGAACACGACCAGAGAATTAAACCCGTATTTTGCAGACCACAGTGGCGACTAAGCCAGGAATTCCTCTGCAGTTCCACTGCCAACGAAGCTTTCAAGACCCGATCGGACCTCTCTACAAGCCACAGACAGTTTACTGATGTTTGGCTGGAGGCTAGTCATATTTTCCCACCCTGAATGTGTCTGCAAGCAAAGTTGCAAAACAAAATATACTGCTTTTTTTGGTAGCCTGTGTGATGCTTCAAGGGCCAATATTTGACCAGTTTCATGTTGTTTTTTTGGTCAAGATTTAAAGGGTGAAAGGTCAGACGGATCATCTAATGTGGTGTTTTGTTGTGAAAATGTAAACCAGATCCTCAAATACTGTAAATACTGAGTAACATTTGAGAAACGACAATGCATATTTAACCAGTATATTAACAATCTCTTATTTTCAGATGTATATATATATATATATATATATGTACAAAGAACGTACATATTTAAATACACCTTAAAGGGACAGGTCACCTAGTTTGAACCCAGGTTGGGGGAGCCTGTGGAGTTTGCATGTTCTCCCCGTGTCAGGGTGGGTTTTCTCTGGGTGCTCCAGCTTCCTCCCACAGTCCAAAGACATGCAGGTTAATTGGTGACTCTAAATTGTCCGAAGGTGTGAATGTGAGCGTGAATGGTTGTATGTGTATATGTGTCAGCCCTGTGACAGTCTGGTGACCTGTCCAGGGTGTACCCTGCCTCTCGCCCAACGTCAACTGGGATAGGCTCCAGCCCCCCCGTGACCCCTAACAGGATGAGCGGTTAAGGACATGCCAATTGTTGGAGGTATCAGCCATACAAATGTCTGCCTTCTTTCCGTTATATGGCTTGTGGTGCTCAAAGCACCAAAGAACTAAATTTGAAGAACTCAACATCAGTATCTCCTTCCAGAAATCATGACCCAGCTACTCAAGATAATCCACAGATGTTGTTGTGAGCAGTTTCATGTGGGAACTATTTTCTTTCTACCGAACTACAGTCGCATACTGCGTGGAAGGAAACGTGCATCTACTGCTAATGTTTACATCTCATGCTATCATGAGCACGAGCCTCTTGTCCATGAGTAGATGCACGCTTTCTTCTGCCCGGTGATACGGCTGGCAGATGTAGCCAGGTAGAAGAATTAAAAATAGACCCTAAATGAATCTGCTCACAACGTCTGTGAATTATCTTGTCTAACCAGGTCATGATTTCTGGAAAGAGAAAGTGGTGTTGAGTTTTTCAAATCTACTTCTTTTGCACTTTGAGCACCACAAGCCGACGTAGTTCCATCATACTGGAGAGAAGGCAGACATCTATACGACCGATATCTCCAACACTCTGTAGCTCACACCAAAACAATCTAGATGTTAATTTTGTGGTGAACTGTCCCTTTAAATAAAAACAATGACGCACTAAGTAAACTTGTGTGTCTCGAATTACTGTATTTTCACCATTCAATAATTCCATTCCCAGTAAAAGGATATATTTTGGTCTAAATCCCCACTGAGTCCTTGCATGATTGGATGACACTCAGTCCTCAGGTTGGGCATCCCTGTTCACCCTGGCAAGCCTATCTGGGCCCTCCACAACAGGGGCCTGTGAGCCCTGGGCCCCTGGAGCTCTGGCTGTTAGCCATGGCTAGCGCTGCTTCTGCTACCTGCTGGGCCCATCAATCCGCCTTTGTTTCCCTTGTGTCACACTGTATTATCCACACAAAGGGCCCAGCGACTCGCGCCCCCACAGCCCCGCTCTGCCCGGAGCTGGCATTCCCTAAACTCCCTAACCCCCCACCCCCCCGCTCTCTCTCCAGCCACCCCTCCGCCAACACCCTGAGCTGAAATCCCATACACCACCACCCACCACAGGACCTCAACCCCCCACTTCCTCCAGGCATCCACCAACAGCACCACCATGGCCAACACGCAGCTTTAAGGTGGCTTGGGCTGGTGCTTGGTAGCTCTCCCTTCCCTAACTTGAACTTTTCCATTCATCACTCCCCAAAGTGAGACGCTCTTCTTCCTTCCCACCTTCCTTCCTTGCTTCCTTCCCTATCCCAAAGTGCACACCCGGGCTAGGTTGGGAGAGATCCCCTTTCAGCCTGTTTTCATGACAGAGTCAAAAGGGCGTGTGAATGGGGCGTCCGTGGGAGCTGGACTGTGTGAGGCGCGCACTGGTCTTCATGCACAGTAGGGGTTGAGCGGAGCCCCCCGGCCCTTTTCTATTGCCTGTAATCTCATTTGGCCTCCCCTCTCCCTTTTATTTGACTGAGGAGCTTGGACTGCTCACACTGCCCATTTCTGCCCAGATTCCTTCCCCTCTGACACACAGGGTAATTCATTTCCAATCAGCAGCCTCACTCACAACACACAAACTTCTACCTTTATAATTAGGGACCACAAGGCCTTAAGCGGGACACCTGTGCCTGTTGTTCCCCACTGTCAGGTTCAGTGGGATTGTTAAAGGACACAGTTAGTGTGACAATATCTTACAGTTAGTATTCTGCGTGTGAAGCTCCTGATGGATGTCTCCAGTATATCAGCTGTACTTGTCAGGTTTTGCTGATAGATTTACCGCGCTGACCCTCTTTCATGTATGAGAGTGTAAACATGGTTGGGAGAAGAGGTCGCTGAGTCTGAAGACGAATGCGATACTGAAGGTAAAGATGGATGGAAGTTGAATAATGTGTCAGTGCTTGTACCTGCGCTCATTTCTCACTGCAGCCAGGAAGGTGTATATTATTGTAATTGCCCTAGTTAGGCGTTTGTCAGCAAAAGCCCAGAGAACAGGCAGTGCTGAGCCCTAGGGTGTACGTTCTGTAACAGCTTGCAGTAGCTTAGCTGTACAACCTAGTTTTTACAGTAGCAAGTTGTCTGGCACCAGCCCAGTCGCCAGAATAAAATGTTGGCATTGTATGTCTCTGCAAGCAACAGATATGTTACATTTGTACGTTTCATACCGTGTATGTCCAGCAGTTTTTGCAGCGTCAAAAGCAGCTGTTTTTCAGCAACACTCGATATGTGTGGCTGTATTTTTAGCGACAAAAGGTGGCATGTTTCAATGATAGTTTGGGACAGGTCCAGCTGTTTTTGTGGCAACAAAAGCAGGTGTTTTTTAAAGAGAGTTTGGGACATTTTCAGTGGTGTTTTTAGCTAGGAATTGGGTATTCATTAATCAGGGTTCGGGATATGTCTGGCTGTATTTTTAGTGACAAAAGCAATTGTTTTTAAACAATAGTTTAGGACATCTTCAACTGTTTTTGTACCAACAAAAGCAGGTGATTTCAAGGACGGTTTGGAACATTTCCAGCCATGTTCGTAGCTACAAAAGTGGGTTTTTTTTAACATCTGTTCAGGACATGTCCAGCTGTTTTTGCAGAAACATATGCAGGTGTTCTTTAACAACAGATAGGGACATTTCCAGTCATGCTTTCAGTGACAAAAGTGGGTCTACTTTAACGTCTGTTCACGACATCGCCAGCTGTTTTTGTAGCAACAAAAGCAGGTGTTTTTAAGGACAGCTCGGAACATTGCCAGCCATGTTTGTAGTGACAATTTTAGTGTCTGTTCAGGACATGACCAGCTGTTGTTTAACAACACTTTGGAATATTTCCAGCTGTGTTTGTAGCAACAGAAGTGAGTGGCTTTTAAAGCCAGTTCAGATCGATGCTAGCCATTTTTTGCAACGAAAACGGTTGTTCAGGACATGTCCAGTCATTTTCTTGGCGACAAAAGTGGGTGATTTTTAACACGTCTGGGACATTTCCAACCATGTTTGTAGCTAAAAAAAAGGCTGTTTTTTTGACAACAGTTATATCCGACTTTTTTGTTGCAACAAAAGAAGGTATTTTTCAATGATTGTTTGTTAGATGGACAGTTCGACAGTTTTTTTAACAGCAGTTTGCAGTTCAGGACATGTACAGAGGTTACTTAGTAACAAAAATGGGTGATTTTTAACAACAGTTTCAGTTGTTTTTTGTAGTGACAAAAGCAGGTGTTTTTTTGTTTGTTACAAAATACAGCAACAAAGATTGATGGCTTGTTCCTGAACAACCACATGTAAATAATTTACCTTTGTCCAGCACAGGACCAAAGATGGCCAGGTTGTCCTTGATGGTGGTACAGTTCCACCGACGGCCCCTAAACTGGTGCTGGCACTCCTGGATCCCCAGCTTCACACCTTCTGCAACACTTGGCATGATCTCTATGTAGTTGCGACAGAAACGCAGCTGCTTGGGCACCAGGCCGGGGATAGAGCCACACAGGATGGGTTGGGAGCCCAGAGACGAGTACTGCTGCCCAAGGGCCAGGGACCTGTGGCACACAGAGAGGGAGAGCAGCATTAAGTAAGATCAGCCAGACATAAACACGTCTCTGAATCTGTGTTCAGCACTCAGGTGGACTAAGAGAACTGCAACATCATTAAAAGAGGTTTGTTACAGCAACCAGACACCAGCACCTAAAAAGTTATCACTGCAGATTGAAATCAGGTTACATTGAATGTCATGTTTTTAAAATCACTTTGCGTACGTCTCGCTTTTTAGGGTTTGTTGCTCAGTACTTTTTTGATGCTGGTTTAAGTGTCAGTAGCAGCTGTGGCCAAACAGTTTCAAATTTATATCAAAATTCAGCCAATTTTGGACGATTGTTTTAAGGTGAAGTCTTGTACTGCAGCTTGTGTTGAGAGCGTTGGTTTCTTTTGTTAAATGAAAAGAAAGGTTTTGTAGAAAAACATGTCTCTCAAAGTGAGGTATTGAAAACTTATTATGCACTGGAATCAGCAGACGATACTCAGCCCTGGTGCTTTTACAATTTCATAGGATGTGGGAAGTGAGACCGCTTGCCTCACAATACAAGTCTGTGCCCTCCGTGAACTCAGTCCCACAATAGCACAATGATGGTGACCTGCCAGCGAGGCCTCTGTGAAAAGCAACCTGCTCTTTGAGAGGAGACCACTTCTGTATTCATTAATCTCAGGTTTTACTGTAAGCGTAGCCCTGTGACAGTACAATGATTCATACTGGAGTGTTTTATTGACTTATCTGTTTAATGTAGTTTATACTAAGAGCTCCTGTTTATTTTGTCTCTTTTTTCCCAGCAGGAGAGGGGGGGGCTAATAGGCCCACTTCAGGGCAGGGATACAAGCTATTAGTACTGACTTTTCAAAGTGTTCTCACTTGTTAGCATACACAGATCTGCTGATCTAACAGATAACACACAAGAACCTGTCTGCTCAGTTTGGGAAAAGCCCCTTCTTACAATATCAAATATATGAAAACACCTGCCTCTGCAGTTCCATCATTTATTTGCGGTTTTTCCCTCTGTAGTTGATTTGATAAGAGTGACAGCGTATACAGCCGAGCCTGCTGGTGATGGATGAAAAACAGCATATCTGAAGATGTGCGCCTCACCAGAAGGCTCGTGCAGATGTGCCTAAGCAGGGATTAATCACCACAGCGAGACAGCCAAGATCAGCTTGTGATGCCAGAAACCATTATAGTTTCATTCAGGTAATTAATTTTAATTGCTTTCTATTTCTCTTGAAATAAAAGAGAGAGAAGGAGAAAACATGTTTGCCATGCCCGTGTTTTTACATGCTTTTAGTGATGACAAGCTCAAACAAAACTGTGTGGTTTATTCCAGAAGGTCATGCATTTACTTTAGGATGTCAGACTCAGATGTCTGGTTTATTTTATTATTTTATTATTATTTTATTTCTGGCATCACCTAAAGAAACATACATGTTTCTGAACAAGTCTGCATCCGTAGTAGATGGTTGCTTTAAGTCAGATTTGGTTGTTTATAGAGTTAGGGATGTGGAGATGTGCTGCCAGCAGCTCTAAAAGAAGAGCTCTACCAGTGCCGAGCAGACTCTCCAGCACTTGGCTGAGTCTGGGCGGACAACGTGGCGCTGGAGGCCATGAGAGGATCACAGAGAACAATTGCAGCTGATCAGATCAGAGCGCCACTCAGAATGACCTCAGGACCCCCGCAGGGCGCAACCCAATCATAGCAGCCACTGACTCTGACAGATGAGTGCAGTGCAGTGCCCCACCCCGACACAAAAGTCAAGCCATTGAAGTCACAGGGAAAAAATCCCCCCTCAGATAGGTTCACAGCTCATGTGCGCTTTTGCTTTCGACATATGGCTACCACCAAAACCCTGCCCCCACCCCCTCACCCCCCAACGCCCTGCTCCCCTCCCTCCAAACACTGTTTTTGATCTCAGGTGAGCATTGTTGCAGCAGGCTCCCAGGTATCAAGGTCTGCCAGTGGAGCTTACACACTGAGACGTGAGACTGAGTTGTTTTGCTTTTACAGCTGGTGTAATGGAATATATGATGATCACATAATCAGCCATAAGCCACTTGTGTTGTTGGCATGGGCCGTCTGATTGACACTCGTACACAACAAACAACTCTAATGTTCCAGCGTAAAAGCCTGTCTGATTACTGCTTTTTATTCCTCAACGATAGCACACTTACATAAACTATTCGAAGCTCTCAAACACTGCCATGCATGAGGAAAAATAAGTCTCTTTCATATCCAACTTAATAATTCAAGCTTAAAATGCTGCTTTGCCCAATTTGATGTTCCCATGCAGTTATTTGATAGCACTCATCAATCTCATTCATGTTCTTGTCTCAAGTTTACCCAAGCGAAGGCAGCCACATTAGCTCATCTGCCAGTCCCAATCCCACCAACATCACTGAGTTCAAGTGTTGCTGACTTCACTCCGTCTGGTGACTGAGTGACTAAGGGCCTTAATTACACTGTCTGCTAGCTTGGTTACTGCCCATTAATCTCTCAGTCATGGGATGGACCAGAGTGGGTGATGCCCTGTACAGAGCTTGGCTCTGAACCCAGCTGTCATATGCTCCCCAACAACATCAGACTCAAAGGAAAGTCTCTCCTGCCCAAGTGAGATATCTCTGTATGTAGGCTGCTCTGCCAACTTGTGCTACATTTCAGGTTCTGTTCAGGACAACTAAACCGTTTGCCCACCAATCTGACATACTGGCTTAGTCAGTGAATTCGGGATTTCTGATGGAATCAATTAGCTAACTGCATGGGACTTTGTGGTGGACATAGCATGTTTAGACTACAGGCTGTGGATCTGCCAGCAGATTTGTCTTTGTTTGCAAAGGATGTGCCTCACTTGATCCGTGTGGACAAATGAGATGAAAGGGATATCTTTTTGGCTAGGTGCTAATGAGAGTCTTAACCCTGAGGGGTTATGAGGCGTATCGTGCAAACAGACACACACAGACACATGCATGCAGACCACATGTGAGCCACGCTGATCCTGCCTGCTTTGCCTCACTTCTCGGAAGCCACGAGCAACGTGTCTCAACCGAATGAGGGAGCAGCAGACGCAGAGACCTCCACAGAGGCAGAATGCCGGGGGAATCTGCTGCAGGGGACGAGACGAGCAGCAGAGCAGCAGCGAACGGCAGGGCTTGGCAGGTGCATGCCCAGGCACGTCCATATGGGGCCTCTACTGGCCTGGGGGGTTTACGGCTTGGTTGGGGGTTTTCTCAGTATCTAAACTGGGCTGATGTGAAAGTATGAAGGACCGCTGGAAACCACAGAAATGAAGCAGAGGAAACAAAGGGATTCCACCACACACCTCGCTAAAGAGTGGAAATTCACGCAATCAGGACTATAACACTGTCAACAAAAACTTTTGGCTACACCACTCCCAATGCAATAAAACCACCGCTACAGTCTCTGCAGCTGGGTTAGAAACGTGACGATGCTGAGGTTACTTTACTGCATCTCTGTTTTTATTTTGTCTCTGAGCAGGAATCCTGTAACGTCAGAAATATGTTGCAGCTGCTGTTGTGGGAGGTCTGCATTACAGGGGTCAGTGTGTAGCACATTTCTGTGCGCAGATGAGCTTTCTTTGTGTGACAGTCTCTTATATCCACAGGCAGAGAAAGTACCAGGTGACCCTCTGAACCTGCTGAGCAGAGAACATGACATCTGACCTCACCGCCTTCAGCCTGATGGCCCACAGAAACAGTGTGAAGTTCATGACCAGGGCCCGTGTACAAGTATCTCAGAACAGGGGTGCTGATCTCTGGCTTGTTTGCCTCATTAGTCATTGTGATCAGGTACCTGCTCATGTGTATATGTAATTGAACACAACTTCAATAAATCTTGTGAGACTTGTTGCTTATCTTGAAGTGAGGAGAAGGACACAAGTCAAACTGATGTAGGCCCTTTATGCTGTCCTGGCCCCAACCTTGGTGTAATGCATTCTGGGAACTGTAAAAGTAACTGAAATTGTGTACAAAAACATAACTAAGGCTTGAAACTTCAACACATTAGCACACAGAAATACAGATGGTCCTACAACGAAAGGTTATATCATTTTTAACAGGTTTTATATTGCTTTATAGAACAATAGTTAGATGTATCTTGGCCTCAGAATGGGCCTTTAGTCTCATTTTAACATTTGAGACCTTTGATTGTATTAAAGCCAAGCATTTACTCTGAATTCATGTGGACTTGGAATTATCAGGAAAATGATGTCCCCACTGAGAAAATTCACATGAACGGCACCTCAAATCAGAACAACAACTTGGAAAATTTGGTAGACGACTTACCAAGTTGATGTCACATTATGGAGAAACATGGTAGGCAAAAGTTAATGTTGGGTTGATGTTAAGAAACTTTTTATTAATTCACATATTGCATAATAATTTTTGCTCGCATGTAATTTGTGATATGATATTAGGTTGTAACTGTTAGTTGTTGTCCGGGTAGAGTGACCTAGATTAGTTAGAGAAGGTATTTATTGGCATTAACCCTGACACCAAAAGTAAAGTTCCATCTAAGTGGTTTTTAGGAAATGTAGGCTACAAGTCAAAATTCCTTTGTAATATAAAGCTTCAAACTGTTTCACCATACTTGGATGGTTGCTATGATGTTAAACGCTCCAAGCAATAAAATACAACACATGTTCTCTGTAGCGTCCATGTTGTTTCCACATTACAACTACAAAGCTCATAGACACACCAAGGAGGTATGTCAAATATTTTTTAAATGCTGGGGCGGGTCTTGGCTTTTTTATTTTTGGCTTAGGGGAGGGGCATACAAATTTAAATGGTTGTATTTTGTATTTATTTTACCGCAGATTTTTAGAAAACATGCCTTCAAACCTTTTGGAGGCATTGGGTAGCATGTTTTCTCCAACTTCACCAAAAGTATGATCAGCCATTTATCACAGCCAGAAACTGTAAAAACAGAAATTATCATTGAATTTTCAAATTTCCAATGGTTCTTGGGCACATCATCTGCAACAAATG